GACACAGTAGCTGTCACAGTGAGACATAAACAACCAACAACAACTTCTGAAACACATGTGAACAACTTTATATACCAATGGTTGGAGAGAAAACGTAGAGAAGGAGGAAGGGGAAGGAGTAAGAAGAGGACAGCAGATGGAGGAGTAATGGTTTACTGATAAATAGAAGAATACAGCAGCACTAGAAGACTGGTTAAAAAAGAGGAAATGTAAAGTCAGGAACACTAAATGCAAGCACTTAGTTACTTACTTAGTTTAGTTGAAGTATGAGGAAGGGGTGGAGATTTGTTGCTCTGCTAAGCAAAATGTGAGACTTGGCTGCCCCCAAACTGTGCAGCTGTCTGAACAGATAACCTGCTGATTAGTTAGTCAACCACACACAGTATGCTAAATCAGATGTGTAACAATGTCAAAATGATGTGCTCTTCTTTTGCCAAGCTTTAATGTAATTTATTAGTTGGAAGTGGGTGCAGTTAGTACCAATTGTCTGTTTCTTCTTGTGCATGCAGTGACATCAAATACAGTCAGAGCAGCTGTAAACAAACAAAGGATAAGGCTGGCATATTGTCAATAAATCCCATGACAAGGCAAAAACCACCAGTAAATGTATCCATAACCAGTAGTACTGTGCTTATCAGAGCCTGATTTGCCCTCTTCTTCTGTACCATCAAACTCTATTGTTGTTAACACACACACACACACATCAGTGAACCACACTGTTGCACTGGGTGACATGTTCCATCATTACATCAGCACAAACACTGCAGTTTATTAGTGACCAGGCAGCCCCACTTAAGAGCTTTTTTAATGACAAAATTCTAACTATTAGAGGCAAAGTTCATGACCTCCTGTCCTCAGATAGTACCTATCTAACCTCAAACACAACTGTAAAACCTAATATACATTTAGATTGCTTCTCCCCAATTTCTCTTCAAGAATTGACAGCAGTGATTTCTTCATCTAAATCATCAACGTGTCTCTTAGACCCCATCCCAACTAGGCTACTTAAGGAGGTCTTTCCTTTAGTTAACACTCATATATTAGATATGATCAATATATCCTTATTAACAGGCTATGTACCACAGTCTTTTAAGGTAGCTGTAATTAAACCTCTCCTAAAAAAGCCCACCCTGGATCCAGAGGTGTTAGCCAACTATAGACCAATATCTAATCTTCCCTTTATGTCAAAGATCCTTGAGAAAGTAGTCGCAGACCAGCTGTGTGATTTTCTCCATGATAATAATTTATTTGAGGAATTTCAGTCAGGATTTAGAGTGCATCATAGCACTGAGACAGC